AGCACTCTGACCTGAAACCAAATTAAAGGAGGCGAATTAGCTTTCTTTATAACACATCTGGTAAAATGCACAAGCTTGCATTTCTACAATATTTCTTCTCTGATGGAATTGTTAAAGAAATAAACATCCCAAAGCATGGTAATTCTAGGAACAGTGAACCTTACATCYGAACAAGACCAAGCAAATTGCAGGAAATGAAAGGTTTAACTAAACAAGGAATGACACCAAAAGATGCCTTTTTTAAAGCTTGTGAAAAGGAAGGGGGTGTGCAGGAGGCACGAAGCATCAATTCCTTACCAAGAAATACTAAGCAACTTTCCAACAGTAAATCATCCCAAAAAAGTATGTTCTGTGCTTCAGATGTACATCAAAGAGATACCATTTTAGAGGCAATGGAAGCCTGTAAAGGAAGGATTTCTATTGCCAGAGAGACTGTTGGTGCACCTGAACCAATGACCTTTTTAGCCAATGACAGACAATTGAAGGACTTGGAATTATATTGTCTTGGCAAAGGGGACGTTTCTGTTTTGGGAGTAGACCCTACTTTCAATTTAGGAGAGTTTTTTGTYACTTTCACTACCTATCATGCCCTTAAAATTGTTAAAAATGTTACCACAGGAAAGTCTGCAGTATTTCTTGGTCCATCTCTCATCCACAAGAGTAARGAACACAAGACCTATGCTTATCTTGCATCATCAATAACCAGACACAMTCCCAAGCTAACGAAACTTAAATCATTTGGTATAGATGGAGAAGATGCATTAAAACAAGCGTTCAAGCAGTACTTTCCAAAARCAACCCATTTAAGATGTTCCATACATATGAGAAGAAATATTGTCAGAAAACTATGTGAGCTGGGAATCAAAGGAAAAGACCAAARTCCATTCATTAATGATATCTTTGGTAACCAAAGAGAAGATATTCAGAAAGATGGCCTTATCAATACCAGTGGGTCTGAGGACTTCTTAGTCAATCTTGAATCACTGGAAGATTGAGCACTGGAATGAGGCAGAAGTCAGTTTGACTGGAAAACCACCAAAGTTCTTTGATTGGTTTGTGATTAACATTTCAGACAACATRCAAGAAACCATGCTGATAGACAAGAGATGTGTTGCTGGACCAGAAATGGAGGCTTCATTGTACAGTACTAATGACAACGAAAGCATCAATGCGATGATCAAAAACAAAGTCAAGTTCCAAAAATCCAATTTGATTGATTTTATCAACATAGTTGATAAAGTAGTACATGAGCAAGATGTCATACTTGAGAGCACCATATGTGGATTTGGGGATTACAGATTAAGAGACAGCTACAAGTACCTAGAGCTT